ATCGTTTTGGCCACTCTTGAGCACGTGGTCAGCGAATTGACTTCTTGGAGAAGTGACTACTGGGCTAAACAGCACCAAAGGGTACGTAGATTTTTGGCACTTATTTTTACAAAGTTTTTAAAATTAATTTTTTTAAAATTTCAACAGATGTGGGATTACATACTCAAAGGTATTCCCAAACTGAATGCAATGGTTGAGGCGGTGCCCGACCCAACTACACGTGCTAAGATCTGGTGCGTGTTGTCAGAGCAATGGATCTTGCTCAATAAGGTGGCCGAAAGTCATTCCGGCAATTCAAGACCTTTTTAAGTTTAATTATTAAATCATAAGTTAATTTCTAACTATAAATTGATTTTAAATAAAGTAATATAATTACAATTTCAATTATACTAAAAACTGCAATCCTTTTAATTAGTATTATTGATAATTATACAAACGGTTATTCTTAAGTGTATTAATTTGTCTGTGTTTAACCATGATTGTCTTTTTGCGTTTCGTTTGTTTGTTATCCCAATCATTGAAAATGATTGATATAATGGTTTCCATGATTAGAAAGGCGGAGACACTTAACCACATGCCTAATACACCACCAAAATTGGATACCATTGCTATCAAAGACATCTCCGGTTTGTGTTCAAAAATTTTGTCCGGCAATCGATTGTGTCGTATAATGATCTCTAAATTTCCATTTGATTTGGATTTGTCTGTAATTGAAAACTCATACAAACGCTCGACACAGTTCTGGGCGTATTGTTTATCGCACATAACACTACATCTCTTACTTAGCAGACAGTTGAATGTTTGGTGTAAATTAGGGTAAAAAGTTTCATTTTTATATTTATAATTGACATACTTTTCCCGTCGATGTAAACCTCCAAACATATGGGTTTTGTCGATGTGAATGAATTCTTTCAATTCTTTGCATCGTTTCCTCTGACACTCGTCTATGCATTCAATTAAATAATCGCTTCGAAAGCCATTATGTCTGTCGTCGTCGGGATTATAGCGCCGACAAGCAGTCACGTAATGCGGCGGCAATAGTCGGGTCTGTATCTCGTTGTAAGCGATGGTCACTTTCGATGGCATTCGTATTTCGTAGAAGTTTTCCTGATTTATATTTGGTATCAAATTTGGCGAATGAATGCCTATTTGATAGTCGGATAACCGACTGTGATATGGAAACCATTGATTCCGGTGCTCAACCCTAACCTCAATGTACGCGATATATGTCTTAAAGTGTCTCCACTTTGGGTTTAAATCACTGAAATACGTGAAACACTTTCGCATTTTAGACACCGATGTTATCGTCTCGAAGGGCTCGGTATCGGTAACGATGGTCTCGTTGTCGGCGCCGTCCGTCTTCACGGTCACAACCGATACCACCGACACATTACTCAAAGAAAAACTTAAATTTTCAAACAATTCATACACTTTTGGTTGTTTACTGAACATATGGCTAACAAACTGATTATATCTATTAAATTGTGCTATCATTAAGCGCTCGTTATTATAGTCAATATTTTCAAGTGAATTCATGTAATCGTTGTAAGACTTGTTTAGCCATCGATTTAACGGATAAAAGTCAGTAAATTTTTCCATAGATAAAATGGTTGGATAGCATAGAGTAATGGCCGGTATTTTACTGACACGAAGTTTATCTATTCTCGTATAGACAACAGTCTGACCGTTAAAGTATTGTTCAATCAATATTTTAGTTTGAAATACAAACCCAACCAAACATCCCATTGTTAACAATAGTTTCAGACAAAACTCACATTTATTTTTGCGATTAAAATCGATTCCTTTGTGAATAAAAGTGAATTCAGTTTTTGGTTTAATTGTTGAACTTTTATTAATTGTTTGAACGCCAATAGTGTTGTTCCCATAAGTGGTGTTATGTCTTAATCCAATATGTTTATGATATGACATTGTAATAACTAATAATAATTAAGTTTTCACAACACAAATTAATATTTTCTATTAAAGTGTTGATGTATTAAAGTGTTTGTATCTCTGTACAGGGTTAGAATACAGTTAATGAAATTATATTGAAAAAAACTAAAAAGTTCATGATAATTTTAATTATAGTATACCGATATAGAAGTTGAGGTTTCTATTTTATATAATAATTGTTATATTACTGAATGGAAGTTTTTGTTTTGGACTATTGATTAATAATTTATATCATACAACAGCTAACGTATGACAATAATTATAGTATTGATATAAATGAGTTCATCATAAGGACAAAATGCATATATTATATGAGTTCAATGAGAATCAATATGATCACATACTGTACAGTAGTTTAAATCAATATTAATGAATTCAATAATTAACATAATTGAATGATAAAAACTCCATACAATTATACAAATTATTAAAAACATTTTTAAAAACAGATATACTTTATTACATTAAATAAACATTGATGTATTTATTTTTAGAAAGATTATTTATTATAATCAAAATTATAGCCATAATTGCTATAAGAATTGTAATTATTGAAGGATTCGTTTGGTTTCTTTGGTTCCATTGGTTTAACGTTAATCTTTTCCAAACTCTTATTCGCCTTTTTATTTGTCAATTGAGTTGTATTTGTGGTAAAGGAGTGCAAGAATTTGGATACAAATGTAATGACATAATCAAACGTCAGTATAATAGACATCCCTAACCACATGCCCAACAGTCCGCCGAAATTGGACACAAATGATATGAAGTAGACTTCGGGTAAGTGTCTGAATATCTGGTCCGGGAGTCGACTGTGCTCTACGTTGAACTCGATGTTCGCCCGATCCTCACGACTCTCGACTACATTAAAATCGTAGACCCGATCGACACAATTGTTGGGACAGTTGTCTTCGCACTTGATCTGACAGGTCTTCCTCTGGAGGCAGTGACTGACATTTTGCGAGAGCACGGGTGCCATCATTTCGGCCGCATTCAGAATATCAAACATATTGAAACCCACGTAATACTCGCGCCGCACCAAAAACTCGGGTATTTGTGTGCACGAGTTGTTGCACAACCCCTTCAAACACGTGTCCACGCATTTTGTGATACAATCGCTCCGTAGTCTCACTTCGGACACGTCGTTGAGGTCATAGGTCTTGCATTGGGTCACGTAATTGGGCGGCAATCGGCGGATCTGTATCTCCGAAAAGGTCACGTGTAGTCTCGAAGCCATCGTTAGTTTCACAAAATTTTCTTTGTTTAGGACAGGAATCATATTCGGGGAGTGAATACTGAACTGATAGTCCGACAGATACTGTTTGCTGTGCGGAAACCATTCGTCGCGTTGACCGATGCGGACGAAGAAGTTCTGGACTCCGATCCGAAATTGACGCCACTTTGGGTGCAAATCACTGAAGTATGTGAAACACTTGCGCACCGGCGGTGTCGTTGTCATCGACTCCTGCGGCTCCCGATCGTAGACAGCGTTGTCTCGGAATGTATTATTAATGATCGCCTTTTCGGTGTTGGCGTCGACGACAAACAGCTCCAGAGATTTGGCCATCGCTGGTGTCTTCATCTCAATACTCAACTCGTCAAACATCTCACTCAGCGTTACGTTCATTGAATCCAAATGTTTCATGAATTTGAGGAAATAGTTTTCGTACAACAAGTCGATAGCCGTCTGATTGTTGCTGTGTTTGTGTCGGCGATAAATCCTGAGGTACTCGTCGTAATCGGGTTTGAATTCGGGATACTTTTGGGCAAACTTTTCCATCGATAGGAATGTCGGGTAACAGAAAGTAAAGGCCGGGATTTTGCTCTCTTTGAGTCGCTCTATGGCTGTGTTGACAACTGTACGGCCGCTTACGTACTGTGCGATCAGGATCTCTGTCTGATAGATAAATCCTCCCAAACAGACCATAAATATAACCACTCGTAAGAAAAATTCAAATCTGTTTTCTATTTTTACGTCAAATATTTGGCCCCAAAATGTCTTGACGTTTGTTTTGGGCTTATTATTGGTGATAGAGTTGATGCCATAAGTATTGATGTTATTATGCATGTCATGGTTGGCGTAATCTGTATACGAATGTATGGCAAAGTTTTTCTTGAAATCCGGGTTCTTCTCGAATAAATTGTTCCGTTTTCTCGAAAACATTGCAAATACTTATAAATGTTTTTTAACTTTAAATTTATAATAGGTTTTATATTTAAATTTTTGCCGTATTTCTCATTTACTGATTTCTATTCAAACCATATATGCTAATAACATTATGTATTTACAAGCTTTTGGGCGTATGAATGAATTAGTCAGGGATAATTTATTTAAATTATAGGCTTCAATAATGTTATCAATGAAAATATGTTTGCAATATACATTTTGAGACCTAATATTATGCATCTATCATTATTAGATCTCAAATGTTGTTAATTCATATGAATATATAACTATAAATTTAATTAATTTGTATTGATCAATGGGAAGAAATAATAAAATGATAAAATAAGTATAATTTATGTAATGAAAATAAAAAGTATTATAATATATGGTATTTATAATTATTTACAAATGTAATAACAATATTGATTTGTTTTTGGCATTTAACGCAATGTTGTGGTAATAAAAACAGAATTCTAAATATATATTGCATATTAACTTATTGTGTAATTATTTTTGCCTTTTATTGAATTATTTATAATAAAATATAAAACAACGCTTAAATATTGTTTTTAATAATTTAAGGAAAGTAATTCATAAAAATAAGTTCAACACCTGTAATATCAGTAATGATAAAACTCATCAAAACACTTAAAAATATATACAGCTGTATAATACAGTAATATACTGTAACTAATATATTACAAAATTATTTCAAAATACTTTTACTTTGAATAATCAAAAAAGATTACTTTAAATCAAAAACAAATGATATAAACAATAAATCGTTGGCTAATCCTGTTTTATGGGAATTATAAAACATTGTTAAAATATAGAAAATTAAAAACAAAAGTTTAATTATTAAATAAACATAAATTGTTTAAAACTAAATCATATGACAATAGGGTCTGGGTTTGCCGTCGGGCCAAACGCATTCACTCAGATCCATATCCCAAATGGTTCCCGTATCGCATGTCTTGAGCTCAGCCTTTCCCATAACACACCAGTAGTACTTATGGCAGTCGGCGTTCGGCACAAACTTTACCGATCCTTTAGCGCACTGTTCGTCGGGAGTGAGCGGCGATAGTGTGGCCACAGTTCCCGCCGTTCCGCCCGATTCAGTCGTACCGACCGGACCTGATGTGGTCACTACCGGTGGAGCCGTGTGAGGGCCAGACTCAGTGGTCGCACCGCTCGGATCTATTGTTTTAAAATTTGATTGCCTTTAATTAGTTTATCACCAATTATTACAATAATAAAAGTGGCACAGATTGAACACATACTGTACAGTACAATTCAATTGTGTTTTTATATACAATAAAATAAAGACAAAATTGTATTAACCAATTCGCAATGAATTTATTAATTAATAATTAATTTTATTAACTAGCACTGCTTGTGTTTACTAACCGACGATCACTTTATAGTCTTTTAGCTTATTCTTCATGACAGTCAACAACGGATTCTTCGGACCGCAACTGCCGGTGAAATCATCCAAATCCATGGCCCAAACCATACCGCCTCCATAGCCCTGTTGCACAACCCTACTTTATAGTCTTTTAGCTTATTCTTCATGACAGTCAACAACGGATTCTTCGGACCGCAACTGCCGGTGAAATCATCCAAATCCATGGCCCAAACCATACCGCCTCCATAGCCCTGTTGCACAACCCAATCCATTTTCTCGCCCACACTCTTCTCGTCCTCATAACCCACCCATTGGTCTCCGGAGTAAGCGAAGGGACATTTGCCCACATTATCGGTCTCATGGGTCCAGTCCTTTAAACCGCATATCTCATAGTAGGCCAACATTCCCGAAGCGTTAGTGTATTTGCCGGGATTTCCGCCGCCATAGTTGGGCGGATTCCAGCGGTTGATCGGCGCTTTCAATCCGTGTTGTGTTTTATCGCCTAAAGTGTACGAACGGCCGTAAAGAGGTATCCCTACTATAAGTTTGTGTTTGGGCGCACCCATAGTGTGCCACAGGTTTGTGCCGTCATTCTGAGTAATCATATTATATGCATTATTATAAATTACAATAAAATATTGCTTATCTTAAACAAGTGTTAAACGATTACTTACAATATTGAGCATTTCATAGGCGTATTCATCAATACCGGGGCGTCTATACAGAGGTGAGTGAACGTCGGCAAAGCCGGCCCACACGCCCCTCAAGTCGTATGTCATCAAATGGATTTGATCTAACAATTCGCCCAATTGTTTCACTTCGTAGCCGTCCTGTAGCCGGAACTTAGGCACCGGAACCGCTGCCGTTAGCAATAGTTTTCGGGACTGTTTGTCAAACGCGGCCCGCATTTCCTGTACGAGCAGCAAATAGTTGGCTTTATCGGCGTACGCGCCCTGTCTGTCCGACGCACCAGGGTACTCCCAGTCCAGATCAAACCCGTCGAAACCGTACTTGTTTAGCAAATCGACCACTTCCTTGATAAACGTGGTCCTTTTATCCTTATTGGCCACCATTTCTGAGTACTGTTTGCCGCCCTCATCCCAACCCCCGATCGCCACCGACAGCTTGAGGTGCGGATACTTCTTGCGTAAACCCACAAACCTTTCGTAGCCCTTCTGGTCGATCGCGTACTTCGGGTCCAATTGTCGCAAGTCGTATGTCTTGTTATCCAAACCGACAAACGAGTAGATGATATGAGTGCAGAGATCTCCGTTAATGTCCTCAATATCGTAGTTCATGGGTTTGGGTCTATTATAAGCCCACGCGCTGTAGTAACAGACCACTGACGCCGGTATTGTTTGCTGACTCTCAACATTGTCTATACTTATAGCGCACAAACATATGAACATTAGAGCCAATGTATACATAATTGACCGCATATTTAAATTTAGGCAACTTTTCTATGCCTCAAATAAATATGCCTTTATATGAATATCTATGAAATTTATATCAAACCTTTAAAGGAGACGAAATTTATATAGTTTTCAACCCTTATAATGTGTTATACTGTGTAACACTTAAACCAAATAAGGATATTAATGATAAGAATTGATGTGATTAATTAATTTCCAACAAACACTTAACCAATCGATATTGTTATGAGATTTATATTGAAAATTATCAATATAATTCATAATGTTAGGCACATTTGGAAAGATTTATATTTTCCTGATATCTTTCTTCTCAAAATATCATTGGTGTGGAAACTAACTTTTTTGATGGAAAATATATTTAAAGTGTTATATTCGTATTCATTATTAATTAAAGAATATTTGTTTAAAAACCACACTCTTGTCCGTCCATTCATTGAAAAGTTATACCAATAAAAGTGTTAATGTATTCTCAATGACTCTTATATAGAATTCAGTTATGCAATACTAATGTGTGAAAAATAACTCACAAATTAATTTAAATTAAGACTACTAATCAGATTTATTAAATGTTTTGAAATAATATTTTCAACTGAATTGAGATACTGTACATGTATTTAGTTAGTAAAACGTATTTATTTACATCCACTGGTCATCGATTGACTATATTTTGTTTTATTTTTCTTATTTTCAGAAAAATAAAATATCTTTCCTCAAAAAATATATTTCTAAAATATATTGGACAGGGAAGGAAATGTACAATATTAATAATTCATATGATTTGTTTGACGACTTGATGTCTAAATTATAATCAGTAATATTTTTACTGTAAATTGTTGTATCAAATAAACCGCTGTTAACAATATAATGGGGCGCAAAGTACAGGACGTACTGCTTGTCAATTAAATTAAGTTTATTTTTAAATAGTGTATTTTATTTCAGTATAAAAATAAAAAATAACAAACTTGTGAAAATAAAATAAGTGAAATAAAATTGAAAATAAAACAATTGATAAAATAATAGAATTGATTTTTGAATTAACAGCAGTTTATCTGTTTTTACTTTTGTATTTCCGGTTTGTTTTATTTGTTGATCTGAACGATAGGCCAGGAATGCGACGATTAGAGAGACAATAATGAGAATAAATGCAAGAGTTATAAAAATAAAGGTAATATTCAATAGTTTCCTGGGATTCACTGCTTGCGGCCAATGTGTTATAAAAATGAGATTTGTCCAGTGAAGAATTTATAGCAAGTATGTTTTAGATATATTCCGAGATTTTGTTTCAAAATGTTATAATAAAAATAGAATATACATTAAAAATAAATGAATGCCAAATAACTGATATAAATAATTGGTTAAAATAATACCATTTATGCATAAATACAAATATAACAAAATAATTTAAGGTTTTGCACGAATAGAATTTAAGTAACATTTAAGCAGTTAATTGGCTTTTGTTTTGTCCGTATTATCGGTTTGTTTTGATTGATCGAAACGATAGGCCAGGAATGCGACGATTAGAGAGACAATAATAAGAATGAGTGCCAGAATTATAAAAATAAAGGTATAAATTGTCGGTCCCTGGGATTCAATGCTTGCGGCAGATGTGTGGCATAACTTTGAGATATAACTGCCGCTCAGCTAAAAAATAAATACAATTATTGAAAAATATATAGAAAACAACAAAACCCAATACAAACCCTCAAGTGATCAAATGGTCGTGAATTTAGTCGATCTATATTTTTGTTGTAAACTGTGATTTCATAAATTCTGAGAGTATTTTGTCCGTAAATAGACTGTTCAATGAGAGCGTAAATGATTGGCGTTTTGTCGGATTCAAGAGTAAAAAATCCGACGACTTTCCCGTTAAGAGTGGCTTTGCTTTCATTCCAGAAATTAATATCGAAGTTATGCTCAAAAGGAAACAAAAATCTCCATTTGGTGTCTGAGACATAATAGAAGGCCCGTAAGTGCATAGGGTTTGTGAGCCAATACATGTATGACTGCGACTTCCAATAGGAAGCGCCGATAGCTGTGATCGACTGATTGCTGGGGACTATCGCTGACACCGAACCAAATGTAATGGCAATAGAGCTCTGATTAGTAAATCGAGAAAAATTAGTGATCGGAAGCAATGATTTAACGCCCAAATCTATTCTCATTGAAAACATTGCGAATATGTTTTGTCCCAACATTTGGTACTTTGGGTGACTTTTGCCGTGAAATACCACTTCATGTGTTTCCGATCCGTTTCTCACTTTTGAGGCAAAATCGTAGTCCACTGTATATCCGACGACACGTTCTCTCGTGTCTGACCGTAAGAATGAATCATTATTTTGAAACTAAATTGAGAAATAATTACTAAAATAATAAGCCAATAGTTGTGTGATTTCTATATCTAAATCAAATTGTTTTCTTGTTTTGTCGTAAACATAGAAATATCGATCCTTTTGGTGGTATAACTCGTGACCGATATTGAAAACACTGTGCCTTTCATTGGATTCTATCTTTTCATTACAAACACCTTTTCTTCGATTACTTAACGCAGGATAAGTATGTTTGTGCGGACACGTGAACAGGTCTTTCAATTCCTCCGAAGAAAGCTATAAAAATATTTGCAAACAATTGTATAGAAGTTATTTTTGTATATTATATCCACACTTACCCTAAAATCATAATTATTGTCTTTAATTGACATATCATATAACGTGCCGTCGTTTGTCTTCCCGTATCCATAAATGTTTCCGTTTTTATTAAACAAAGATTTAAACCAAAGTATAATAAAGTCTTGTGTCTTATTAACGGAGATTTGAGATGAGGTAGAATCGAAAGCCCAAACCACTCGATGTAATTTCCATTTCGAGTGTGTCTTAGAATGCGTTACAATTATTACATCATTAACTCCTGAGGACGGGTTGGAAACCGCGGACACAACGGTATAATCTTTATTGGGATACGTGTCTACTCTAAGCCAAACGGCTGAACACAAATCTTTTTCACGTTTGGAATGAATACTAGAAGTCGAGTATCGATAGGATTTGATGTGTGGGTGAACTCCGCTCTCATGTAGTGACGGTTTAAACCCATAAACGCAGAGACGATAATGAAATGGTGAGCTCTGGAAGAATGTATTACAAGTTGTGTCAGATTCAAAGCATTCGTCACTATAGTGTGGTTTGTATGTAAAGCCATGAATGGGTTGATATGTATCTGTTATAAATATTAATAATGTTTTTAATTAATAATGAGTTAAACGAATCATTAATATATAATTTCATACCAAAGCCATCCCTTTCTAACAAATCCGTGAAATGGGATTCAAAACTCAAATTAATGAGTGAATCGTCTGTTAAGTTGGGATTTGATTGTCGTGTGAATCCCATTGAATTCATTCGCCAAAAGTTTCCGTCTTTTTTGATATAAGAGTCGACTCCGAGAGTGAAAACTGAATCATACTTTTGTTTTTTCGAGCAAAACACGTGCGGATCTAAAAGCACGGCCTCTTCGAAGCAGCGAAAAATTTGTTTGAGTTGTAGTTTCTATTAAATAAACATTTATATCAATTAAATCACATGATTTGAAACCAATAAAAAACATAATTAACAAACCGACGGAAAGTAAAAGTATCGTGAATTTGATTTATTATAAACCGCTTGATATATAGTAGCGTTAATGTCGGCAATGATGGGTAATGCGATCAAACGGTCCATTTCATGCAAACGGATCATATGATGGATATATTCTTTCAATACAACCGCAACGCCGGTCTGCAAGTGTGAGGTATCCAAATGCACCAAAAAGTTTTCTGTCGCCGACTTCTCAAATATAATGACATTCCTCTCAAACCCCTTCTCCACATCTGTTCCGTTACTGTCTTTTATTAGTGAATAGTATTTCATTTTCAAATAACTACTTATTGGCAATAAAGCGGTTGTTTTGGGTAAGTTTGCCAACTTTTGGGCCTCTTTGAGCAAAACTTCATAAGTTTTATTACAGATTTGCATCAATTGTTGAAATGGGTGGCGAGTGTCGTAATAAATCTTATTAGTCATCCTATTGTAGTGAATAATCTTTAGACCATAAACTAGTTTAACAGTGAAAATAGTAATTTAATTTTAATTGATTGATTTTAACGTTTATTTAAAGCAAATACCAGATTGTGTGGCGGAAATGCCGGGCATTTGTTTATATGTGGTGTAAACGCATAAAAACTCGGAATAGGGGTCCTTTCGAGTGGCAATTATTTGGTCGCAAAAATATCCTTTAAGATATGTATTGTCCGTTATATTGCCGGCGATACACGAGTCGTATGTGTGGTCGATGTCTACCATTACTGCAGTTATCTGAGTGTCCACTTCTGTTATACAGAATTATTGTTTCAAATTTGAATTTGAGTTTACATTTTGCAAATATACAGTATAATAATTAATAATCATTCAATTGAATACAAACCCCAAAACATGTAATTTTCCATATATTTGAGAATATCTGTAGAATCGATGGCACTCTTATAGTTTGGCATAACGTCTGCTATGTTTGGATGTCTAATAATAGTCTCATTTATTTTCCACAATTGTCTGACTGTTTGTCCATTTGTGGGATCAGTTGTGTTGATGTGATAAAACATGTCATTCTTTATTTGAAAAACACTAATCATATTCAGTGTACGACATAAGCCATGTTGTGACGAGTGTTGGCCACAAATCACTTGCAAATAAATCATCAAAAATAATGTTTGGATTATAAAGGCTTTCATTTTAAGCGTTGATCTTTTCGGATAATTTTTTCAATTACTATAAACAATGAGATTTTTGTATGCGTTTTGAATTTAAAATATCGGTGATTAAATAATTCAATAATTATATTGTTATTGTGATAAAAATTTAAATTGTTGGAAATGTTATCATTTTTAAGCTAAATAAGTTTACTTCAATTCTATGGTTTATTGTAAGCTAAAAGTTGTAATAAAAAATTAGATATTGATAAACATAACAGTTAATTGAAAAATACTTACGGTAATATAAATAAATGATTATAATAGTAAAATGTATTTCTAAATTCATATTAAATAAAATAAGGTAATCATAAAAGTTAATCAAACGAAGAATAATTTGTTATTTTAAACGCTTATTTGTCTTTTATTGAAATCTTTGGGTTTTTTTGTTGTTTATTGATTGGAGTGATTGTAACAGAAAAATATACATGTTTATAAATTAATTTTAATTGTAAATAATATATTTTATTTAGATATATAAATAAGTTTAACTAAAAATAACGTAAATGAAAAGAATTTACCATAAAATATTTGATAAAATAATACAACTAATTTTTGAATTAACATCAGTTTATCTGTCATTAGTTTTGTCCGTATTATCAATTTTCTTCGTTTGTTGATTTGATCGGTAGGCCAGGAATGCGACGATTATTGAGGCAATAATGAGAATGAGTGTCAATATAATAAAAATCGCGGTGAAAATTGTCGATCCTTGAGATTGACTTCTTGAGGCCGATGTGTGGCATAAAAATGATATGTAATTTCCTCTCAGCTAAAGATAAATACAATTATTGGATATAATATAGAAAACAACACAAACCCTCGAGTGATCAAAAGGTATTGAAATTAATTGATTCATATTTTTGTTAAGAACTGTGATTCCAGTAAATTGAAGCACATTTCTTCCATAAACAGTTTGTTCAATGAGTGCGTAAAGTGTAGGTGTTTTGTCGGTTTCAAGAGTGAAAAGGCCGACAATATTGCCTTTAAATGCTAGTGTCTTGTCGTCCCAACCCTTAGAATCGAAGTCCCGTTCAAAAGGAAACATAAATTTTCCTTTGATTGTTGAGACATATGCTGTCCTATAGTTCTTCACATTTTTAATCCAATACATAACTGATTGTAACTTCCAATAAATAGCGCCGATAGCTGTGATCGACTGATCGCTGGGGACTATCGTTGACACCGAACCCAATGTAATGGCAATAGAGCTCTGATTCGTAAATCGAGAGATATTAGTGATCGGAAGCAATGATTTTACGCCCAAATCTATTCTCATTGAAAACATTGCAAATATGTTTTGTCCCAACATTTGATACTTTGGGTGACTTTTGCCGTGAAATACCACTTCATGTGTTTCCGATCCAAATCTCAATTTTTTGGCGAAATTGTAGTCCACTGTATATCCGACGACACGCTCTCTCGTGTCTAACGGTAAGAATTAATGATTATTTTAAAACTTAATTTTAAATAATTACTGAAATAATAAGCCAAAAGTTGTGTGATATCCATATCTAAATTAAATATTTTGTTTGTTTTGTCGTAAACATAGAAATATCGATCTTTTTGGTGGTATAACTCAAGACCAATATTGAAAACACTGTGCCTTTCATTGGATTCAATCTTTTCATTACAAACACCTTTTTTACGATTACTTAACGCAGGATAAGTATGTTTGTGCGAACACGCGAACAGGTCTTTTATTTTCTCCGAAGAGACCTATAAAAATGTTTCAAACAATTGTATAAAAGTCTTCAAATCTATTACAATGTTTATCCAAACTTACCGTAAAATAATACTTCTTATTTTTAATAGACATATCATATAACGTTCCGTCGTTTTCCTTCCCGTATCCGTAAATTTTTCCGTTTTTATAAAACAAAGAGTTAAACCGAAGTATAATAAAGTCTTGCGTCTCATTAACGGAGATTTGAGATGTGGTTGAATCCAAAGCCCAAACCACTCGATGTAATTTCCATTTAGAGTGTGTCTTAGAATGCGTTACAATTATTACATCGTTCACTGCGGAGGACGGGTTGGACACCGCGGACACAACGGTATAGTCTGTGTCGACAGTTAGCCAAAACACGGCTGAACACAAGCTGTCTTCCTGTTTGGGAAAAATACCAGTTGTCGAGTATCGATAAAATTTCATTTGTGGATTAACTCGGGTCTCATTTAGTGAAGGTTTAAATCCATAAATGCATAGATGATAATAAAATGGTGAGCTTTGGAAGAATGAATTACATGTTTTGTCATCTGTAGAGCATTCGTCACTATAGAGTGGTTTGTATGTAAAGCCATGAATGGGTTGATATGTGTCTGTTATAAATAGGTGAAACGGTTTTAATTAATAATGAGTTAAACTATTCATTAATATATAATTTCATACCAAAGCCATCCTTTACTAACAAATCCGTGAATTGGGATTCAAAAATCACATTAATCAGTGAATCGTCTGTTAAGTTGGGATTTGATTGTCGTGTGAATCCCATTGAATTCATTCGCCAAAAGTTCCCGTATTTTTGGAAATAAGAGTCGACTCCGAGACTGAAAACTGAATCATACTTTTGTTTCGCCGAACAAAACACGTGTGGATTCAAAAGCACTGCCTCTTCGAAGCATCGAAATACTTGTTTGAGTTGTAGTTTCTATCAAATATTAATATCAATGAATATGTTTTGAATTAATACTTAACAAACCGATGGAAAGAAAGCGTATTGTGAGACAGTCTTATCGTAAAAACTCTGCGATAAATTAGTATTAATGCCGGCATTAATTGGAAATGCGATCAAACGGTCGACTTCTTGCAAACGGATGATGTGATGGATATTTGCTTTCAATACAACCGAAACGCCGGTCAGAAAGTGTGATGTGTCTGAAGAGACCATAAAGTTTTCTGTCGCCGACTTCTCAAATATAATTACATTTCTCTCAAACTCCTTCTCCACATCCGTTCCGTTACTATCCTTAACCATTGAATAATATTTCATTGTTATGTAACTACTTATTGGCAATAAAGTGCTTGTTTTGGGTAAGTTTGCGAACTGTTGGGCCTCTTTGAGCAGCACTTCATAGGTTTTATTACAAAATTGCTTCAATCGCTCAAATTGGATACTCGTGTTATAATAGATCTTATTAGACATTTTATTGTACTGAACAATCTTTAGTCCATAAACTAGTTTAGCGATAAAACAATAATTTCTCTAAAATTGAATTACAATTTTTAATTGTGAAAATACCGGATTGTGTGGCGGAAATGCCGGGCATTTGTTTGTATGTGGTGTAAACGCATATAAACTCCGAATTTGGGTCCCTTTGAGTGGCAATTATTTGGTCGCAAAAATATGCTTCACTTATATTGTTGGCGATACACGACTCGTATGTGTCGACAATGTCCACCAGTACTGCCGTTATTTGAGTGTCCACGTCTGTTATCCATACATATTGTTTCAATTTTAATGTTGATTATTGTATTTAAAGTTGTTATAAAATAAGAAATTTGTAAACATGATCATAATTATTGACAATATACTGTACTAATGTCATTCAATACAAACCCCAAAACATGCTATTTTCCATATATTCGAGAATATCTGAAGAATCGATGGCAGTGTTAAAGTTGGGCATAACATGTGGTATATATGGCTCTCTCATCAAGTTTGAGATTTCATTTATTTTCCATAATTTTGTTACTCTCTGTCCATATATGGGATCAGTTGTATTGATGTGATAAAAGACTTCGTTTTTTATTTGAAAAATACTAATCATATTCAGTGTACGACATAAGCCATGGGCTAACGAGTGTTGGCCACAAATCTTATGAAAATAAATCACTAGAAGTAGTGTTTGAATTAAAAAGGCTCTCATTTTAACTAATATTTGCATAACTTCTAAAATATAGAGATTTTGAAAATAACTTGTGTTTGAATTACTCTTTATTAATACTATTGTTACTGCAATAATACAATAGATTGATTATAATAAATCATTTACAACAAGTTCATGTAATTTTTATAATCTCATTATAAAAGGTAGTAGGAAAGATGGCGGTTTTGTCCAGGTAGATATTAAAATAATAAATTTATTTCTAAATACAAATATAATAAAATAACAAAATAATTTCAGGTTTTACACAAATAAGAATTTTGTGACATTTAAGCGCTTATTTGGCTTTGGTTTTGTCCGTATTATCGGTTTGTTTTGTTTGTTGATCGAAACGGTAGGCCAGATATGCGACGATTATAGAGACAATAATGAGAATAAGTGCCAGAATTATAAATATAAAGGTATAAATTGTAGGTCCCTGGGATTCAATGCTTGCGGACGATGTGTGGCATAACATTGAGATATAATTGCCTCTCAGCTAAAGAATAAATACAATTATCTTATATTGGAAAAAATCTATAAAACCAAACAAACCCTCAAGTGATCAAATGGCCGTGAATTTAGTCGATCCATATTTGTGTTATAAATTGTAATTTCATAAAACTGAAACAGATTTCTCCCGAAAAAAGGCTGTTTAATGAGAGCGTAAATCATTGGCGTTTTGTCGAATTCAAGAGTAAAAAATCCGACGACTTTTCCGTTGAAAACTGCTGTCCTTTCGTTCCAATACTTAATATCGAAGTTATGCTCAAAAGGAAACAAAAATCTCCATTTGGTGTCTGAGACATAATAGAAGGCCTGAATGTCTACTGAGTTTGTGAGCCAATACATGTATGACTGAGACTTCCAATAGGAAGCGCCGATAACTGTGATCGACTGATTGCTAAGTATTATCGTTGACACCGAACCCAATGTAATGGCAATAGAGCTCTGATTAGTAAATCGAGAAATATTAGTGATCGGAAGCAATGATTTTACGCCTAAATCTATTCTCATTGAAAACATTGCGAATATGTTTTGTCCCAACATTTGATACTTTGGGTGACATTTGCCGTGAAATACCACTTCATGTGTTTCCGATCCGTTTCTCCTTTTGTGGCAAAATCGTAGTCCACTGTATATCCGACGACACGTTCTCTCGTGTCTAATCATAAGAATGAATGATTATTTTTAAATTAAATTGAGAAATAATTACTGAAATAAGAGGCTAATAATTGTGTGATATCCATATCTAAATCAAATTGTTTTCTTGTTTTGTCGTAAACATAGAAATATTGGTCCTTTTGGTGGTATAATTTCACACCAATATTGAAAACACTGTGCCTATCATTCGATTCAATCTTTTCATTACAAACACCTTTTCTTCGATTACTGACCACAGGATATGTATGTTTGTGCGGACACGGGAACAGGTTTTTTAATTTCTCTGAAGAGACCTATAAAAATGTTTGCAAACAATTATAAAAAGTATTTACATCTATAATATTCAAACCTACCGTAAAATAATAATTAGTATCTTTACTCGACATATCGTATAACGTTCCGTCGTTTTCCTTCCCGTATCCATAAATTTTTCCGTTTTTATAAAACAATGTTTTAAACCGAATTATAATAAAGTCTTGTGTCTTATTAACGGAGATTTGGGATGGGGTTGAATCAAAAGCCCAAACAACTCGATGTAATTTAATTTTATGATGTATTTTAGATTTCGTTACAATAATTACATCATTCACTGCGGAGGACGGGTTGGACACCGCGGACACAACGGTATAGTCTTTGTCGACAGTGAGCTTAAACACTGCCGAACACATATCGTCCTCTTGTTTGGGATGAATATCAGTTGCTGAGTATCGATAGGACTTAATGTGTGGGTGAACTCCGAATTCATTTCGTGACTGTTTAAACCCATAAATGCAGAGACGATAATGAAATGGTGAGCCCTGGATAAATGAATTACAAGTTGTGTCAAATGACGAGCACTCGTGACTATAGAGTGGTTTGTATGTAAAGCCATGAATGGGTTGATATGTGTCTGTCATAAATATGTGAAACGTTTTTAATTAATAATGAGTTAAACCATTCATTAATATGTAATTTCATACCAAAGCCATCCCTTTCTAACAAATCCGTGAAATGAGATTCAAAACTCAAATTTATCAGTGAATCGTCTGTTAAATTGGGATTTGATTGTCGTGTGAATCCCATTGAATTCATTCGCCAAAAGTTTCCATCTTTTTGGAAATAAGAGTCAAATCCGAGACTAAAAACTGAATCATACTTTTGTTTCGCCGAACAAAACACGTGTGGATCGAAAGGTAAGGCTTCTTCAAGACATCGGAAAACATGTTTGAGTTGTAATTTCTACAAATGTATTACATATTAATATTTATTAAATGTTTTAAACTTATAAAATATATCAATAAACTAACGGATGCGCGAAAGGCATATTTGGAGGGCTTCTTTTCGTAAAAACCTTCCGATACACTCGTATTAATACCGGCTTTCATTGGGATTGCGATCAAACGATTGACTTCTTGCAAACGGATGATGTGGTGAATTGTCTTCAAATCGGTGAAAATGTGTGACGTGTTTGACGTGTCGGACGAGACGATTACGTTTTCGGTCACCGACTTCTCAAATATAATTACAGTCCTCTCGTACTCCACTTCTATGACGTCGACTCCACTTTCATTTACGTTAATATTCTTCACGAATGCATTGTATTTCATACGAAGATAACCACTAATTGGTAGTAAAATCGCATTTGTGGGCAAATTTCCAGAATTTTGCGCCTCTTTTAGCGGCCCATAATATGCATTACTACACATTTGCATCAGTTGTGGGAACTCTAGACTTGTGTTGTAAAAGATTTCATTTGTCATCCAATCGTATTGAATGATTTTTAGGCCATAAACTGGATTACAATTTAAATAATTAATTTAATTTCAATGTTTGTTTCATAACCATTACCGGGTTGTGTAGTGTTAATGCCGGGAAATTGTGTGAATGTTGAATAAATGCATACAAACTCCAGAAAGGGGTCGTTTCTTGTGTCAGTTATTTGATCGCAAAACGGTTTATCCGTAATATTGCCGGCAAAACACGACTCGTATGTGTTGTCGATGTCCAGCAAAACGGCCGCTATTTGTGAATCGATTTCTGTCGTCCAAACATATTGATTCAATTTTTCAAAGGTTTTGTAGCATTTTATTATCAAATGTTAATACATAGGAATCGTAAAAATGATTATCTAATTGAATACAAACCCCAATACATGTTGGTTGCCATATAGTGGAGTATATTTGAAGACTTGTGGGCAGTTTTGTAGTTCGGCATAACGTATGGTTCGTTTGGGTCTCTAATAATAGTCTCATTTATTTTCCACAATTGTCTGACAATCTGTCCATTTGTGGGATCAGTTGTATTGATGTGATAAAACATATCGTTATTTAACTGAAAAACACTAATCATATTTAGTGTACGACATAAGTCATGTTGTGGCGAGTGTTGGCCACAAATCACTTGCAAATAAATCATCAAAAATAATAATTTGATTATAAAGGCTTTCATTTTAAGCGCTGATATTTGAATAATTTTAAAAAATAAATTTAAATATGATTTTTAAATACAATTTGAATTCAAAATATCGTTAATATTAAATCATACAATAATTATATTGTTATCGTATAAATGTTGTAAAAATTATTATAAATGTTAAACTTTTTATAAGAATTTAAAGAAATCTTTATCAGATCATCAAATAATTGTCTTAATGTTGTGTTTTATTGTATAGATAACATCAAAATTAAGTGTCATTGTAAAGTACTTAAATAATAATAGATACACGAATAAATATGTTGTAACATTTAAGCGCTTATTTGGCTTTTGTTTTGTCCGTATTATCGGTTTGTTGTGTTTGTCGATCGAAACGATAGGCCAGAAATGCGACGATTATAGAGACAATAATGAGAATGAGTGCCAGAATTATAAAAATAAAGGTATAAATTGTCGGTCCCTGGGATTCACTGCTTGCGGCCGATGTGTGGCATAACTTTGAGATATAACTGCTAATGCGACGATTATAGAGACAATAATGAGAATGAGTGCCAGAATTATAAAAATAAAGGTATAAATTGTCGGTCCCTGGGATTCACTGCTTGCGGACGATATGTAGCATAACTTTGAGATATAACTGCCTCCCATCTAAAGAATAAATACATTATTGGAAAAAATATAAGAAACAATACCGATAACAAACCCTCAAGTTATCAAATGGTCGCGAATTTAGTCGATCTATATTTTTGTTATAAATTGTGATTTCATAAATCCTGAGCTTATTTTGTCTGTAAACAGACTCTTCAATGAGAGCGTAAATCATTGGCGTTTTGTCGGATTCAAGAGTGAAAAATCCGATGACTTTTCCGTTGAGAACGGCTTTCTTGTGATTTCATAAATCCTGAGCTTATTTTGTCTGTAAACAGACTCTTCAATGAGAGCGTAAATCATTGGCGTTTTGTCGGATTCAAGAGTGAAAAATCCGATGACTTTTCCGTTGAGAACGGCTTTCATTTCATTCCAATACTTAATATCGAAGTTATGCTCAAAAGGAAACAAAAATCTCCATTTGGTGTCTGAGACATAATAGAGAGCCCGTAAGTGCATAGGGTTTGTGAGCCAATACATGTATGACTGAGACTTCCAATAGGAAACGCCGATTGCTGTGATCGACTGATTGCTGGGGATTATCGTTGACACCGAACCAAATGTAATGGCAATAAAACTCTTACCTATAAATCGAGAGGTATTAGTGATCGGAAGCAATGATTTTACGCCCAAATCAATTCTCATTGAAAACATTGCGAATATGTTTTGTCCCAACATTTGATACTTTGGGTGACTTTTGCCGTGAAATACCACTTCATATGTTTCCGATCCGTTTCTCACTTTTGAGGCAAAATCGTAGTCCACTGTATATCCGACAACACGTTCTCTCGTGTCTAACGGTAAGAATGGATGATTATTTTGATTGAAATTTAATTAAAAATAATTAGTAATTATTAATTACTGAAATAATAGGCCAATAGTTGTGTGATATCCATATCTAAATCAAATTGTTTTCTTCTTTTGTCGTAAACATAGAAATATCGATCCTTTTGGTGGTATAACTTAAGACCGATATTGAAAACACTGTGCCTTTCATTGGATTCAATCTTTTCATTACAAACACCTTTTCTACGATTACTGACTGGAAGATAGATATATCTGTGCGGACACGCGAACAGGTCTTTCAATTTTTCAGAAGAGGGCTATAAAAATGTTTGCAATGAATTGTACAAAAGTCTTCACATCTATTATATCCAAACTTACAGTAATATAATACTTCGTATTCTTAATGGACATATCCCATAACGTGCCGTCGTCTTCTTTCCCGTATCCATAAATTTTTCCGTTTTTATAAAACAAAGATTTAAACCGAAGTATAATAAAGTCTTGCGTCTGATTAACGGAGATTTGAGATGTGGTTGAATCAAAAGCCCAAACCACTCGATGTAATTTAATTTTATGATGTGTTTTAGATTTCGTTACAATAATTACATCGTTCACTGCGGAGGAAGGATTGGAAACCGCGGACACAACGGTATAGTCCGTGTCGACAGTGAGCTTAAACACTGCCGAACACATATCGTCCTCTTGTTTGGGATGAATACCAGTTGTTGAGTATCGATAGGATTTGATTTGTGAGTGAACTCCGGACGCATTCAGTGACGGTTTAAATCCATAAATGCAAAGATGATAATGAAATGGTGAGCTTTGGAAGAATGTATTACATGTTTTGTCATCTGTAGAGCACTCGTCACTATAGAGTGGTTTGTATGTAAAGCCATGAATGGGTTGATATGTGTCTGTTATAAATATGTGGAATGTTTTAAATTAATAATGAGTTAAACTATTCATTAATATGTAATTTAATACCAAAGCCATCCCTTAATAACAAATCCGTGAAATGAGATTCAAAACTCAAATTAATGAGTGAATCATCTGTTAAGTTGTGATTTGATTGTCGTGTAAATCCCATTGAATTCATTCGCCAAAAGATACCGTCTTTTTTGAAATAATAGTCAAATCCGAGACTGAAAACTGAATCATACTTTTGTTTCGCCGAACAAAACACGTGTGGATTGAAAGGTAAGGTTTCTTCGAGACATCGGAAAACATGTTTGAGTTGTAATTTCTATCAAATATTAATATTTATTAAATCAAATGCTATAAACTTATAAAACATATCAATAAACTAACGGATGCGCGAAAAATATATTTGGAGGCCGTCTTTTCGTAAAAACCTTGCGATAAACTCGTATTAATGCCGGCTTTCATTGGAAATGCGATCAAACGGTTGATGTCTTGCAAACGGATGATGTGGTGAATTGTCTTCAAATAATCGGAAACATCGGTCAGAATGTGTGACGAGTCGGACAAAACCATTACGTTTTCGGTCACCGACTTCTCAAATATAATGACAGTCCTCTCGTACTCCACTTCTATATGAGTTCCGTTACTATTCTTCACGAATGTATTGTATTTCATACGAAGATAACCACTAATTGGCAGTAAAATCGCATTTGTGGGCAAATTTCCAGAATGTTGCGCCTCTTTAAGCGGCACTTCGTATGCATTGTTACACATTTGCTTCAGTTGTGGGAACTCTAGGCTTCTTTTGTAAAAGATCTCATTTGTCATCCGATTGTATTGAATGATTTTTAGGCCATAAACTGGATTAACATTCAAACAATTAATTTAATTTATTGATTTTCAATGTTTGTTCATAACCATTACCGGGTTGTGTGGCGCTTACGCCGGGAATTTGTGTGAATGTTGAATAAATGCATACAAAGTCCAGATACGGGTCTTTTCGTGTGTCAGTTATTTGATCGCNAATAAATGCATACAAAGTCCAGATACGGGTCTTTTCGTGTGTCAGTTATTTGATCGCAAAACGGTTTATCTGTAATATTGCCGGCAAAACACGACTCGTATGTGTTGTCGATGTCCAGCAAAACGGCCGCTATTTGTGAGTCAATTTCTGTCGTCATATTATTAAATTTCAAAGTTTTATTAGTTTTTAGCATTTTGTTAACAAATGTAATTACATAGGAATCGCAAAAATGATTAATTATCAGTTAAAATGATTATCTAATTGAATACAAACCCCAATTCATGTCGGTTGCCATATATTGGAGGATATGTGAAGACTGGTGGGCACTCTTATAGCTCGGCATAACGTATGGTTGGTTTGGGTCTCTAATAATAGTCTCATTTATTTTCCACAATTGTCTGACCGGTTGTCCATTTGTCGGATCAATTGTGTTGATGTGAAAAAACATGTCGTTATTTAACTGAAAAACACTAATTATATTGAGTGTACGACATAAGCCATGTTGTGACGAGTGTTGGCCACAAATCACTTGCAAATAAATCACCGAAACTAATGTTTGGATTAAAAAGGCTTTCATTTTAAGCGCTGATATTTGGATAACTTTTTAAATAATGAGATTTGAGATACGGTTTGAATTTGACATATTGTCATGTATAGGAAGTGCCTCTATAGAATTTAACCTTTATTCTGTATTTTGGCTACGTATTAAACCTATCAAGGCCATCTATTAACACTTTCTACCATGAGCATAGTATGTAATAACGCGGACGCCAGGCATAAATAAGTGTATGCCTCACTACACAAATGACTACTTATTTTACTATAGATTGAGATTATAGGATAAATATATTTGGGTACAATTGGTATTTATATAGAGATAAAACACCTAACCTCTCATAATTAGTTATGAGATTAATAATTTATACACGTATAATTTG